GGAATACAAACCACAGTCTGAGTCAGACACTTCAGATGAGCAGCAGATCTGATCGAGCTAAACTCCTCTCACATGTACAGCTATCTGCATCCTCTGAGTTTAGTGAAGCTCTGAGATCAGACCTAACTGCTCTGGATGTGTCTGAGCGCAATGGAAAGTGAATCTTAAAGGCCAAATAAACATCATGTGTGAATGAAGAGTTGGACTGCCTCATGAGGAGCCGGTGACTGATGTTGAGACAGTTCTGCTGAATGTCACCGTCCCAGAAAGCAAAGCTCATCAGCCCATCATCACACAATGAAGAGGAGAGCAGTAAGAAAAGAGCAGCAGCGCTGAGAGAGGAAGAGAGGGAAAGCAGCGCGGCTGAAGAAGATCAGTGTGTGCAGTCAGCAAAAACCTCCTGATCAGCAAACTGTCACGAATCCGGTGCATGAACTTCCGTCTGCTTGCCACCAGAGGTCACCCTTCCATTACATTGACTCTCGCACTACACAAACTGTTGCATGTCATCCCGGACTACATATCCCATCATCCATTGCACTAATTGCACACAGCTGTAACCAATCACACATTCACTATATAACACTCACTCAGATCCCTTTCAAACTGCAGAGTATTGTTTAGCATCTATGCTGCTATGCGTAGCTACTTTACGGAGCCAGTTCCCGGTCCTAGCTTGAGTTTCTAGTTCTGAGTCTAAGTCTAGTTTATCCTGTTTATTGCCTTAGTAATTTCGTGTTTTGATCCTAGCCTGTATATCTCGTTTCTGTATGATCTCTGCCTGCCCTGAAGTATATCGCCTGTCTTGGATTACCCCTCTCGTCTCGCCCTGTTCAGATACTGTTTATTCCTCGCCTGGACCATCGCTTGTGTTTTGAATTACTCTTCAGTCTTGCCCCCTATATACCTGTTTGCCATTGTCCGACCCTTGCCTGTTTTGACTATGTTTCAGAATAAAGCTTTGCATATGGATCCGCACGCCTCTCGTCTTGTTTGCCCCATAACATATGGTATCAGCCCATATATGGTATCATTTGAAAGCTTAGAGTGTCTTCTTTACAAAGAATACCATTACTTTTGGTTTTTTGATACATAAAGCAGTAAAATGAAGCTTAGAAATGTATTCGACCCACACACGAATTCCGCCTAATGATTGCGAATAATTTTTCCGAAGAATGTGTATTTTTTTATATTTTTCACAAAACAGTCAAGTCATATATCACAAGAAAGCTCTCATTCTCAAGAATTTGACTACATATATTAATTGATTGTGTGACAATCACAGATCGAATGATCTTCAATAGAATTGCGATGTGAAATTTCTCATCTCTAAGCAAATTTTCTTATGGGTTACATTCCTACTCGTAGCACTGCTTCAGTCAGCCGCAAACAGCCACAAATATCTATATACTTATAGAGCTTTTAGATTAGGATCTCTTCTTTCAAACAAGACCATTTTCACGTTTCTGCGTCCTTCCATCGGTGAGATATATAGCGTTTTGTTCAGCTGCGCAACAGAAGCTCACCAGAGAAAAAAAGATGCTCTTTTGGCAAACACGCGCTCTCCAAATCATAGCAGCTCTGGCCAGCGGCTCTTATGTTCTACAACTCTGGGCTGCTCAGTGGGCGGCAATAGATCAGATTATACGCCACTCAAGCGCGCCGGGCCACTCAGAGCCGTGAAATTTGGCACCTCTGGGTCAATAGACAGGAGGGGGGAGAGAGAGGATCCGGGTCAGCACTGGAGCTGTTTTGAGCGTGGGTCTTGTAGTTTTCTTTGACTGTTTTGAAGGCGATAATGCACGCTGGAAGACAAACGCAAGTCTTGTGTCTCCTGAAAGAAAAAAACTGATTGTATAAAACACAAAATTTGATATTTGGTATAATTCGCTTATGCCATTTTGTATATTACTACTTAGACAAACATAAAAATGAAACATAATTCAGTCAATAATCAAGAAAAGTGCTATGGCACATAGTAAAATAGGATTCTGGGGGCAATATGATTTATAAAACCTGTTTTTGGAAAGGAAACTCACAAAGACACTTTTAGACGCAAAAAAGGGACAATTTTACTCCCTTCGGTTATAATTCAATAACTCCTGTTTAGAAGCTGTTATTTGAAAGATTCTTTTTTTCTGGCATATCTTGGCAACTAGTGGAATCAAACAATATAAGCTGCAGAGAGCTGGAGCAAATAGAACCTGAATAACAAAAAAAATTCTGAAAAAAAATCAAAAAGTGCCTATGTTTTTTTTAGTGTTTATTGTAATATTTAAAACATATACAATGTTATTTATGAAGAATTACAACCATATTTTGTAGTTCAAAGGGTTTTCTATAAAATGACACCATTGTTTTTCATTTCCTCAATTGTATGTGTGTAGAGTAAACATTTGAATTAGGGTATGTCAAATTTAGGCGAAAATACACAAAAACGCCCCTGAGCGTAAATTAAGTCATCACTGGCTTACAGTCCACATCAATAGATTTAGCAATAAATCTGTCCCCCTCATGCCTGTTCATAAAGGACATGTTTTCATGTTCTGTCTGCGATATTTGTACATTTTTGTCAAATACGCAAACCTTTTCATTTAATAGCAGCTATATGCATTAGATGTAATAGCAGCTGGGTGGCCAAGCTGTGCTCTATAAACTACTGCACTATCCCGATTTACCCCTGAGAAAAACTCAAGTAAGAATGCTCTTGACACAGAATCAGAGATTAAACGACTTTAACTGGAAAATGACTGTTTACTATTGTCCTCTTTTTAGAGCAGCTTTACAGCAGTTTTTTTGAAAAAACATTTACCTGTAAAGCTGCTTTAGCACATTCTGTGTTGAATAAAGCGCTATATAAATAAAGGTGACTTGACTTGACTTGACGACGTACAAAGTGAATGCATACAAATCTCATGACAACTAAAGACTAAGCTAATACTGAGTCTATGTGTGTTTGAAAGCATAAAATAGTAAATAGTCTGAAACTGCGCTGCAGAATATAGGGGGAGTGAGAACAAAGCAAGAAATCTGTGTTTTACAACATTTTAGCATTCTGTAGAGGGGTGTTGCCTCTTAGTGGTGGCCATTTTTGACACAATCATTACAATAACCATGTCCAAAATCTACTTGTGACGAGTGGGGCGGGGCCGAGAGCCGTGGGAATGGAGTGTGGTCGGTGGAGTTAATGATAATGCATGACACCTGCGCCACTCACCGGTCTCGAGTCCCACGGAGGAGCTCCGGAAGGATAAAAGGAGGAGTGACGACAGTGTTGGACGAGAGAAGACCAGGTCTGGACTTTATTTTGTGTTTTGGTTCTGTTTGTGCGCGACAGTCGTCCGCGAGGGGCTGTCGCGCTATTTTGTGTTTATTTTATTAGTAAAGTTTTGTTTGAACGTTCGCCGGTTCCTGCCTCCTTCTTCCCGTGACTACGAACTTTGTTGCACTACTCTTGTCTATCTACAGTGGCCCTGAAATTTATTTGGACACCTTTGGACACTTAGTTGACACCCAAAAATTAAATTTAAGTCATTATTTACTTAAGCTGTAAGAAAATTTTCACTCACTTCTGTATTTGTCGCTTTTATCTTTCAGAAAATAAAGTTGCTGCTCTCATTGTCCCATCTGCTACACAGGGTCTTTAAAAGGATAGTTCACCAAAACATTGAAATAATTTACTCACCCTCATATCATTCCAAACCTGTATGCTCTTTCTTCTGTGAAAAACAAAAGATATTTTGTTTCTGTGTTTTTCCACAGTTAAAAATACAATCTACAATAAAATACAATACAATACAATAGACATACAGGGTTGGAAAAAAAAAAGATATGGGGTTTTTATTTGAGTTCCATTATTTTTTTTCTAGCGGATGGATGGCATTTAACTATTTTACTTTTTTTAAAAAAAGGAACATTTTAATATATATTTTTCGCTTTAATATTTGTACTGTGCGGTAAAAATTTTTATAAAAGCAATAAGGTATTCAATGCATGCTGTATTTGCAAAAAAGATATTTTGTTTCTGTGTTTTTCCACAGTTAAAAATACAATCTACAATAAAATACAATACAATACAATAGACATACAGGGTTGGAAAAAAAAAAGATATGGGGTTTTTATTTGAGTTCCATTATTTTTTTTCTAGCGGATGGATGGCATTTAACTATTTTACTTAAAAAAAAAAAAGGAACATTTTAATATATATTTTTCGCTTTAATATTTGTACTGTGCGGTAAAAAATTTTATAAAAGCAATAAGGTATTCAATGCGTGCTGTATTTGCAATACAGTCTGTCCCCCATTGGGCCTAATGGCCCTCATCCTTAACTGTATTCACAATACTGCTTGGCTTCTCATAGCTTATTGCGTACATACTCATTGGTTGCTATAGTAGTGGTATAAGCACCTGCACGATGCCAAGACTCTCTCATACAACAACTGAGGAGCTATCAGAAAGAGAGGACAAAAAAAATGAAATTGCCTTTTACCATTTCTATCATGACATCTTATACAACTTGAAATCTGATCTGACTCTTCAGATTCAAATGTAAAAAAAAAAATTTAACCACAAGGATGTAGTTTGTATCACGTTTGTAAAATTTCAAATTTGTGTTTTTTGTTGTTCAGACTAATAGAAACACAAAATCAGATTTTTGTTGCCTGTCTTAAATGATCTGAATGAATATCTTAGTGTGAATACCCTTTAAAGCAGGGGTATCAAACTCAATTCCTAGAGGGCCGGAGCCCTGCAGAGTTTTGTTCCAACCCTGCTCCAACACACATATCACGTAGTTTTGAAATAAGCCTGAAGGACTTGATTAGTTTGATCAGGTGTGTTTAATTAGCGTTGAATCTAAACTCTGCAGGGCTCCGGCCGTCCAGGAGTTGAGTTTGACACCCCTGCTTTAAAGCATCAGAAGTCGTATGAGAACAAATTATTAGTCTGCGTTTTATGTAATTTTGGTTAATTCATGCTGTAGAGACCTCAAGTGTGTGTACCTGTCGTATTGGTTCAGGTACTCTGTAGAGGCAGCAAGTGTGTGTGAGTCTGACTGCTGTATCCAGACTGATTCGATGACCCACAGAAACATACACAGGTTTGATACTGCTTTGGGAACTGCGGAGAGCCTGAAGAAACACAACAAAAACAGAAGTATTCACTTAAACATTTACTTCCAAACAAACAATCTACCGTAAATTTAATAAAAGAAAACATAGCAGGAATATATATATTAAATCTAAATTAATTTGGTACCTTAGCACATCATAGGTTACTACTACTCATTCTAAATTAAAGGAAAACATAACACATGAACAAAATATATCTGTGTGTGTGTATATATATATATATATATATATATATATATATATATATATATACACACACACAGATAGATAGATAGATAGATAGATAGATAGATAGCCCTGGTCTTCCATACAAATATACATAAATACACAGACAAAAAACATTTAGAAACTGCAACCAATGTTTATTTAGATGTTTATTTACCTTTTAGCCTTTTATAGAAATAGATATACAATAAGAATAAGTATATTGCAAGATTAAAAAGTGTGCATTGGCTACAAGTTGTCATTTATATCGCGATGCATTGTTTCTAACATATTTGTATCTGTAAAAACCGATTTATTTATATATAATTACTAGTGGATGCGCTATACGTTTATTATTTAGAAAGTGGTCAATAATCTGTGACCAATATTTTATATGTAGATTGATTTCTCCTCTCTAAACTGTTTCTCAAGCGCGCGTTCTCTAATCACCGCTGCTGCGTTAATATGACGTATCAAAACACTGTAGAGACCTGAAGAAAGGCGGGGATTAAAGTCCAAAACTTGACTTGAAATAACCTAACAAATCAACCGGGGCTAAAGCAGTTCCATAAATGACAAATTCACACAATCTCACTAATTTGTGCACGCTTATTCTTAAGCAGACCTTAATGTCGATAATGGATCAAATCGATCCACCATGACAAACAGCGAGATCTTAATGACGATCATGGATCAAATCGATCCACCATGACAAACAACGAATATATCTGTGCTGTTTAATGCATTCGAGACATTGTGTTTTCCTAAGCAGTGTTGGGCAAGTTACTCTGAATATGTAATCAAATTACTGATTAATGATTACTCCTTTTAAAAGTAATCACGTTACTGTTCTGATTACTTTATTTCAAAAGTAATTAGTAACATTATAGTTACGTTACTATTTTCTCCATGAAATTTATGAAATCCCAGCATACTGTAACGGGGCTGACAAGACGTGAGACGTGTGGATCCATCTGCAAGCTTTTATTTAAGAGACGTGGTCATAACAGGCAGGGTCGAACAATGGCAAACAGGTATATGGCGGGCAAAACACAAGAATACGCTTGCACCTGTTAATCGTTTATATTTTATATTAGTTCATGTTTCTTTTGTGCAATAGATGAATAACAATTTATTTGTTTTAGATATTTTGTTTAGATATTTCTATTTTGCGTGAGTCCCGTGAATCATTTTATTCTCCCGCATCCCGCACACACACGGGTGTCTACCCGCCCGCACCAGCACTCACCCATCTTGTCCCGCGCCGCACTCTGTTGCGTCGGGTCTCGCGGGAGCAGGTCTCTAATCCACTGGCACTTGACTCGACAGTGCCTGTGCTACATCCTTTTTAGGTCTCTAGATTATAAAACACTGCATTCTGTCAGCAATGTAACGTGGCAGTAACGTATAGAGACGTCGGCTTGTAACTATACTCTAATTACTATTCTGAAAATTATAACGCGTTAAATTACTCTGTTACTAAAAAAGTAATCAAATTACAGTAACGCGTTACTAAGTAATGCGTTACTGCCCAACACTGTTCCTCAGTGCATAACTGACATGTAAGTGGATTATTGTAATAGGTAAATCAAATGTAAGCTAGTAGGCTACAGTAGGCCTACTAATTACTAAGCTCGTGTATGAGTGAGTGTGAATGATAAATGAGTGTTTCTTATAGCAGTTAAAATGTAATAATTTTCTTTATTATCTATTTTCATTTTTAATTAAGTGATTTTAACTTAATTTAACTTAATTTACACTGAACAAAATTATAACGCAACACTTTTGTTTTTACCCCCATTTTTCATGAGCTGAACTCAAAGATCTAAGACTTTTTCTATGTACACAAAAGGCCTATTTCTCTCAAATATTGTTCACAAATCTGTCTAAATCTGTGTTAGTGAGCACTTTTCCTTTGCCGAGATAATCCATCCACCTCACAGGTGCGTCGTCCTCATCGGGGTCTCGACCTGACTGCAGTTCGTCGTCATAACCGACCACCGACTAAGATGCCATCGAATGTGATGAGTCAGACTAACTGAAATAAGCCTGGCTTATTTGGTTAACTTGTTTTATGAAACATGTTGAATCAAATCGAATCTAAATCGGATCACACTGCATCGTAATTGGGGTGAATCGCATCGCATCGGTAGCTGCTTCATATGTATCTTTAAAGTATTTTATCGTTGGCTATGCATCGAGATGCGTATCGTATCGGCCTGAGTCATGAGATGCACATCCCTATATATATATATATATATATACATTTGATACCCCTTAGCACATCATAGGTTCCTAAATAATGAAACAAAAAACATTTGTATGTGTTTTTGTTGGTATCCTTGGCAAATATGAACAAAGAAGGCTTTGAAAATAAGAAAGTAAGTGGGGGAAAATCACATGAAATTAATATATTTCTCTAATACACAGTGGTCACAATTACTGGTACCCTTTTTATGAGTATATCTCTCAAGTATATTGAGATTTCATTTCAATACATTCATATTTTCATTTTTTAGCACACCAGGGTGACTAGAAACTCCCATTTCCACAATTAGAGCAATAATTAAGAATTTCCAATGAACAGAAAATGTTACAAATCTGCCAGGAAGAGGATGTTATTGTCAAGTAACCATGTCGAAGCACACACGCAAAGGATGAAGAAGACGATAATGACGAAGATGACGCCAAGTCAAGTCACCTTTATTTGTATAGCGCTTTATACAATATTGTGTCAAAGCAGCTTTACAGTGTCAAACAGGAAAAAAAGTGTCAATAATGCAAGAGGACAATAACAAAGAGTAATTTTTCAGCTAAAGTCAGTTCATTGATGATTCAGTGATGTCATCATCCAGTTCAGCTCTCTTCCAATAGTGTCTGTGCAATCAGCCAAGCGTTCCCAACTAAACAAGCCACGTCTTTAATAAATCCATATATAGGTAAATCCAAGTAAGAGAAGGCAGGGGACACACATAACATTGCCGATACCCAACCACTTCAAACTGAACAGACAGGAACTTAAATACACAGACCAAACTAGGATAATAAACAAGACACACCTGAAAATAATGAAGAACTCAAATCAGAAACCATGACAACTAACTAGACAGAGAAAACGGTGCAAACAAAGTCCAAACAATGTGATGTTGTGACAGATCGCCCCCCTCCTGGAAGGCGTGAACTCACGCCACAGAGAGAGGAGGGTCAGGAGAACGGCGGAGGGCTGGGTGAAAGGGATGGCGTAGGGCAGGCGGCCGGACGATCGGGAGGAAACTGGAGGTTCTGGAGGAGGATGGAAGACCAGGAGGAGGACGACAAACAGAGTCCAAGGTGGAGCAGACGGAGGTAGGAACCAAGGAGGATGCAGGAGGGACCAGGAGCAGGAGGAGCCAGGTGGGACCCAGGCCGCAGCCAGGATGGCATCCCATGGTGGAGCCGATGAAGGGAGGAGCCATGGTGGAGGAAGGACTGACGACACCAGGGGGCCGACTGACGGAGGCGGAGCAGGTGGAACAGAAGCCCAGGGCAGAGACAGAGAGCCACAGAGACGGAGAGCTGCAGAGCCAGGGCGACACTGAGGATCCGGAGGGCCAGGGCGGAGCCGACGGCTCTGGCGACCGTGGCAAAGGTGGGGACTCAGAAGACCGCGGTGGAGCCGGAGCGACAGAGGACCAAGGTGGAGCCAGAGGGAGGGAGGAGCCAACCTGAGCCAGAGGGACGAATGGATGAGGCGAAGCCGGAGGAGTGTAGTCCCAAGGCGAAGACAGCTTTGGGTCCGGAGTGGGGCTGGTGAAATCCTCATCAGTGGGGTCGAATGGCAGGACTGTCCATAATGGAAAACAAAAACACTGACAAAAATGGGAAAATTAAATGGAGTAACAGATGCAGTATCTGTCTTACTATATCTTTCGGTTGGGTATTCTGTCACGTAATGTGTCAATTCTGTGTCGATGAACACACACAAAGACAAAGATGACGATAAGCAGTCTTTAATAAATCCACATATAGGTAAATCCATGCAAGAGAAGGCAGGAGACACACATAACATTGACGATACCCAACCACTTCAAACTGAACAGACAGGAACTTAAATACACAGACCAAACTAGGATAATACATAAGACACACCTGAACATAATTAAGAAGTCAAATCAGAAACCATGACAACTAACTAGACAGAGAAAACAGTGCAAACAAAGTCCAAACAATGTGATGTTGTGGCAGTTATAATGTCTTAACACAAGACGAGGAGGATAGTTTGAGTCTCCAAGGATCACAGCTGGAGAGTTGCAAAAATTAGGTCAGAAAGCTTTAAAATAAATAAATAAAACAGCACATACATCACCACATGTTGTTTGGGAGGGTTTCAATAAAAATTATCTGCTTTCATCCAAAAACAAACTCCAGCATATTCAGCTGTCAGACACTACTGGAACTTCAAATGGGACTGGGTTCAATGTTCACATGAAACTAAAAAATGAGTTAAAGAATTTTAGCAGCAAATACTCAAGATGGGTTTGGTGCACACAGGGATTAAAAAAAGTACCCCATGCATACAATTAAAGATACTGCCATATCTTTAATGTTGTGGGGCTATTTTTCTGCCAGAGGTCCTGGACATCTTGTTCAGATAGATGGCATCAAGGATTCTAGCAAATACTAACAGATTAAAAAATCTGACTGCCTCTGCTAGAAATCTTACAATGGGCCATGGCTGGATATTCTATCAGGACATTGATCATAAAACAAATATCAAAATCAAAACAAAAATGGGTCACTGAGTACAAAACAAAGCT